AGCAAGGCCGCTGCGCGGAGAAACGAGTTGAGCGCGGTACTACTAGGGACGTGGTGGGGATCGAACTCGGAACCACTCGTTTATGAAGCGAGCGCTCTACCACTACACCACTACCGCATTTTGTATATATATATATGTATATATATATATATATATATATATATATATATATATATATATATATATATATATATATATATATATATATATATATACATATAAGCACATTAGTATTTGATAACTATCCTTATTTGACTTAAGTGTAAATATACATATGTTTGGAGTTAGCTTTATCTCTACAAGTTATCTCAAATATCAAAAAATATTGCATCTGCCCCTGTATATAGTCACAAAAATAATAAATAATGTAAAACATATGTAATTAGAGATAAAAGCATAATAGAAAAGGGTGGGGTGGTCCCTCCCTGTTTAAGTATCAGTTTAAATTGAATATTGATGTAATAGGCAAAAAAACGCTGAAAATAAATAGAAATTATTTAGGCGTTTGCGCCAAATAAACTTATGAAGATAAGATGACATCAGATATCTTTACAGATATGTTCTTAAAATTATGTTTTAACAACTTTAGAATATTGTTTATATGTTTTTTAATTTAAACTAATTAAGTAAATATGTAAATTCTAAATAAAATTTAAAAAGTATTGACTGCCTTTAAAATGACTTTTGATTTAAATTGATTTAAAATGACTGCATTTAAAATGCATTAAAAATTTTTTATCCAAGTTTCAAGTGTTATATTTTATGTTAAGAAAAACAAACCTTTTACTTTATTAAAACTTAATGAAAGATTTCTTTGTGTATGTCTGCTTGAGTTTAAACTTATTTTATATATTTCTATTCTTTCAGTAAATGTTATTATATATTTTTATGAAATGCATTTTTTACTAAAATAGTTTTTTTCTCTGATAAGAAAAAAAATTAAATACATCATGAACTTGCTAAAACAAAGACAAATGTTTTTTGTACACCCAAGTGGTGTAAAGTTAAAGTGGTTAGATACTTGTACACCCAACTGATTAGCTGTTATTATTGGAATTGTGTAAGTTAAATTGCTAACTGCGTATATAGCATGTGGTTATATACTTTGTATATTTTATATGCTTGTTAATATGTTTTGTAAAAGCAGTGTCCAGTTTGTATAATTAGTTTCTGATTCAGATAAATACGGTTTTGGATTCGATTGAAAGAGATATTCAAAAAACTGAAATTGTGACATGAGTTCAAGTTCATATTTGATTTTAATTAACCAGACGGGGTATATGGTTTTCTCACTCATATATTTAGCAATACTCTGTTTTGCTGTAATATGTTTTTTCTTGTTTTATTAAAATACAAATTTTTTTTCAAGTTAAGGTTTACAAAATGGTAAACTAAATAAAAGTTTTTTTATAAAACAAATTTTTATTTTAGTGTTAAAAATAAAAAAACAAACCTCTTGATTTTTCCAAAAAAAACACTGGTTAACCTAGTTTAAGGAATTGAATTTCAATCAAATACAAACTCAAACGCAAATACGTATTTGACCCCAACCCTGTTTGTTGCTAATAGAAAATAAAAAATATATGCTCCATTAGATTAAGACATTCTTTTTAGATCTATCAATAAGAAATTTGTGGCCATTAATTGGGTATTTTGCCCTAAATAAAATGTAGTATTAAAATATTTTTTCAATCATTCAATACAAAACTTTAGCAGAATAGTGTAAGAGTTAACTCTTTTAACAAAATCAGATTAAATCACTTTGAAAATGTTAGTGAAAGAAAAAAAAGTACTGAAAAAAATACTGAATCATAGTATTTTAGTTGTGGTTTTACACAGATGACCCATATTCTTGTTATTAAATCATTGGACTTTATCAATAAATTTGACTTTTACTAATAAATAAACTTTTACTTTTCCTTTTTAAATAAAAAAGTTTATTTTTACTTTACTAAATCTAAAATTGTTTGTTAAAAGTATATTAAAGACATTGTAAATATTTTTGATGCTTATCTATGTTTTTTTCAACTCTTTTCAAAGTCCTAAAATAATTTTATTTGTCATCTATGATAATACCAAAATATGAATTGATCAAAGTTGAAATGGTCTAAATTTATTCTGAATCAACTAGATGTTGTTGATGTTGTTCTTTATTTAGAAGTTGAAATTGTACTTTAACTTCTTTGTTTAAATAAATTTTTACAATTACTTTTCTGTTACTGTCCAGGCTTGACAAAATTCTAAAAAACATTCTTAAAAAAGTTCTACTAAATTTGATAAGTTTGCTATTCATAAATTTGATATTTTGCCATTTGTTTTAGTTTTTTTTTCAGTTATTTGTTTTTAAATTAAGTGTTAAAAATGTATAATAATTTAAAACACATAATTATTGGGAATTTTTTGTTTAAGTGATTCCTTATCCTCCATCTTTTGCTGAGGAGCCTCAAGATACATGGTTTTTTAACTCACCATCAATCTCATCAGCTAATCTTAGTTGCGTTGCAAACCATCATCCAGTTACAGTTTCTGTTCAGTGGATGTATGAAACAGAAATTGTGTCAAAGTTTACAAATATAACTCATATACAAGTAGATAAGTATGGTGCATATACTTGTTTTCTTTCAAATTCTTTTGGAATAGTAAGAAGTCGTACAGCACAAGTTAAAAAACCTGGTAATTTTTTTTAATTATTATGTTCATTTTATATTTAAAATAATAATCAAAAAATAAATGAGCTGTTTCTTGATTTATTTTTGACAGTTAAAAACAGTTTAGTTGATCAAACAATAACAAATAATTTGAGCAAACAAAACAGTTCTACTCAGAATATTAGATTTATATTGATAATAAAAAAAAAATCAATTTATCTGAATTAGTTGACATACTTATAAAACAGTATGCTTAATAGAAGAATAAAAAAAGTCTTTAAATGTATATCTCCTAAAAGCTAAATTTTAAATTAGTATTAAAAATTTGAAAAGTATTTAACAAAAAACCAAAAAAAAATAAAGTCTGTAGTTTTTGCCTAAAAATGTTTTTATTTTTTTTTGCAAAAAAAATGAGGACCAAGGCAAGTAACTCTGTATCTAATGTTTATTGTTTATTAAAATTTTTGAAAGCTGAAATAAAATTCAAATGTGGCTAATACAGCAGAGATTAAATTAATGCAAAATATTCTTGTGCTGATTGCGGTATTGGTAGGGATGGGGGGGGGGGGGTTGCATTAGTATAAAATTATATCTTTTGTACATTTTTTTGTAATTCTTATTTGTTTATAATATTTCTCATATTTAAATATTATCTTATTTTCTCATTTGGCAGAGTTTAAAATAGCGTAAGTTACTGTTACAATATAACTTAAGTTATAATATGTTTAAGTTGCAGTTATAATGAAATGAGCAAATAACGTATTACTTTTAGTAATTGTTTTTACTTAACATGATACATAAAAAAGTAAAAGTAAAAATGTAAGAGTAAAAATGGAATCATTACAATAAACACTTTAATTAGTCATAAAAAACTATTTAATTTGTTCAGGCTGGCGATAAAACGTGTTATTTTTTAAGAGTATTTAATTGTTATTGTAAAAAGCTATAAAACAACAATAAAATAAACTGCAAACAAACAAGTTGTTTTATTAATAAAGGGCTTGTGTTAATGTAAAACAGCTTTGTGATGCTATTTTAATGCTGTTTCATACATTTATAACCTGAATAACATAAAACGTATTTAAAATAAAATAAAGAAAATAAATAGAATTGTTCTGATTAATAAATTAAAATATTATCGTCATAAAACTTTAAACTTCATATTTACGCAAAAACATGCCTATAAACCATACAAGTCTATAATCTATAGATCAAACGAGTAGATCAAAGCAAAAAAACATTAGATACCACGTTTTTTATAATTTACTGTTTTTTGATCTAGCGTACTTATAAAAATTTAAGTATAATTAAGTTTTTCATTTAAATTTTTTTGCAATAAAAAGTGAAACAAAAAAAATTTGATTTAATAAATTATATTTTGAAATATAATTCAATTTATTAATAGGAACATAAGAAATTCCTTATGTTTAAGAATATGCTTAAAATATTTTTTTAAAAGAAATTTCTTTGAACAGAAGTAAAATAATTTATTAATTTTAATTTAAATTTTTATATAATTTCATTTTTAATTTAACAATATGAGATTTAGAACATGTTCTAAATCTCATATTGTTACTGTAGCTAGATATACGTTTAACTTTCAGCAACAACAGATTTCAGATTCAACATAGATTCAACAATAGATTCAACATAGATTCTTGCTATGCTGGGTATTACGGACGCTGCTAAATTAAATTTATAATTATTAAGCGTTAAATTTCTTTTAAATTTTTGTAATTTTTTTTTTTAATTTCAAATTTTAATCGCAAAATTATTAAAGTAAGAGAATTTGAGAAGAACAAAATTCTTTTGTTCAAATAGATTTTTAGATAAAATTCATAAAACAACTTGCGTACTAATAGAAAATGTTTGATCTTGATATTGCTTTAAATAAAAGAAAATAAAAATTCGCATTTTTTATATGAGATTTCAACATCACATTTTTTATATGAGATTTCTTCTTAAAATAATTTTTAGTTAGAAGCTTATATTATGTGTTAACAGCGTATAAGATATAAATAGATACATTTATATGGCTAAGTTTTTTTACTAAATTTTACTAAATAAATTTAATAGTTAAGTAACTGAAGGTTACTTTAGTAATTGAACTGGTTGTTTTGATTTAGTTTATTGGTAAATTTTTTATCCATTCAGTATATCAAACTAAATTTAATTTTAAACAATATTGGCTTCCATGCAGAGATTTAAAGTAATTTTAATTCAAAAACGCTTTATGTTAAATAAAATCTCCGCGCAAAAGAGCAAAGATCATACTTCTATTCAAAAGATAAATTGATAAAATTATTAATTGATGTACTTTATGACCCTTAATAAAAAAACTTAGACAAAAACCTAAAAACCTAAAATTACCTAGGTAATTTGGTTTATAAATTTGGTAATTATTTTCCAGATATGAACCTTTTGAGCAGTGAATTTATTATGTCACCATTTTCTTGTGATGTAAAAAATGTAAAAGAGGAAGCACAAGAAGAATTTATAGAGTTAAAGAATAATACCATAAAGTATTTGTGTCATTGATAGTCTAGTCTATTCACAAATACCTTAAATAAAATATTTGTGTGTCATTGATAGTCTAGTCTATTTACAAATATCTTAAATAAAATATTATCTTAATGAATAATAATTACATTATTAAATTTTTACCTTGTAATAATTTTTAAAAGAAGGGTGATGTACTTTATGACCCTGAATAAAAAAACTTCGACAAAAACATTACTTTTTAAGAATGGCCTAAAAAAAATGCATAGTTATGAAATAAAAAATTAACAAAAAAAATTGCAAAAATATTAAATATTTTAAGAAAAAATTAATACGCTTATTTCGAGATCTGTACAAACTATTTAGTTCTAAAAGTTAAAGTTCTCATTTTTTGTTTTCATCACCATAGGATCCAAAAAATGTATAGAATCAAATCATCTACTTAGATCCTAAGTTATTCAAAATTAAAAACATTTCAGTCAAAATAAATTACTCTTTTCTGTCAGTTTTTTTTTCAACAATTTTTCAGAATTTTTAAGCTTATTAAAAAAAGAGACTCTTCTGAGGCTTATGAGGAGTAAAAAAAGTTATTCAAAATTTTAGTTATTTATTCTCTTTTAGTATGTTATTTTAGAAAAAGATTTCTCTGTAAGAAAAAAAGGTTTTTTAAAAATTGTAGATAAAACAAGATAATTCTAATGTCGTGACTTGTCAATGAACTTAAATTTAGTTTAAAATGTTAAAAAATATGTTTTATAAACTAATTGCTCTCATGTTAATGGGATGGAAAGTAAATGTTTAAGGGTTTTATTGTTTCCAGACTCTGATTATTGCAGTTTTTTTTGCAAAGTTTTCATTTTTTTGCAAAGTTTTCACATAGACATATAAATGTTTGCAATTTTCTCCGCGTCATTACATAAACTTAAATTTTTAAACAAAAACAAAAGGCTTACTATGAGCATGATTTAATATACATGATTGAAATATTAATATAAATATATGAAATAATAATATAAATATATGAAATATTAATATAAATATATGAAATATTAATATAAATATATGAAATATTAGCATAATTAAGCTAATATTTCATATAATAATATGAAATATTAGCTTAAATATTGTTGTTTGCATTTTTGTTAATTTTTACTTTTAATTTTGTTGTTTTATTATATAAAACACTTCCCATCGACCATATCATTTTAAATTAAAAATGCATTTTTTTTAAACCACACTTTTAACCAAAAGTTATCCATTTTTTTATGTTAATTTTTTTACTTTTAATTTTTTTTTTTTAATAAATAAAAATTGATGTTATTTATATCAGTTATTTAAAAGTGAGGAAGTTTAATTTTTAATTTGTTTTAAAAGGCTGTCTGGTTTATTGTTCTTGCATTTGAAATGATTATATTTTAAGTTTTTTATTTTTGCTTTTTTTTATTCAGCTTGTTCATTGTTAGAAAAACCACTCTAACCAAAATGAAAAGTTATTTCTGGAAAAAACTAACTGAAATAATTGTTGTCTGGCTAATAGACGATATTTGATAACTTTAAAATCACTAAGCGCACAACGGGTTCTGGTATTGCCTGGGAAGTTTAAAATATTCCAAACATAAATAACTTTTTCTAATACTTTTTCGTTATTTAAATTACTAAAACCATGATAGCTCTTCGATAATTTTAAAAAATATTGAAGGTCACTGAGCTTTCATTTAGAACAATTTACATTGTTATCAAGTTTTAGACCTTTTGCAGAAAACTAATTCATTAAAAACTTTACTAAATTTTCGCAGTCATCTTTATAATACTCTATCTTTAAATCCATTAATAAATTTTAAAAGTTTAAATTAAAACAACTACATTAGACATAAGTTACATAAAGTTGTAATGCCAAATTTGATTTTTATACTTTGTTATTTCCGAGGCGATCCCACAATGCATAGCGAAAAGTTTTTGAAAAAGTTATCAAATATCGTCTATAGAAATGGTTTATTCCAGACAAAAGTTTTATGAATAGTTCTCAATAAATAAATAAAAAACATATTATTTTTATTTTGGTTAAAGTGTTTGTTAACAAAAGAAGCAAAAACCAACTACTTTTTGCTTCTTTTATTAACAACTACTCTAGCTTGAATCTTTTATTAACAACCACTTGAGCATGAACAAAAGAAGCAAAAAGCAGCAGCATAGCTACAAATTTACATGGCCTCTTTATGATAAATTTTTGTCAGGGCCACTAATCTATATCCTCCTGACAAAATAATGAATACTAAAACAAGTAAATCAAAAAAAGCTATCTTATAAAAAGACTTTCTTTCTAAAAAAAACAATTTTAACATACATGCTTATCAAAATTATACAAATGCTTAAAGTTTCAGAGCGCTAGCCAATCTAAAAGGTAATTCTGGAACAACTGATAACTGAAAAATAACTTGTGAAATCAAATAATCAGTTAAAAAAAAAAACTGTTTTAATTGAAAAAGGTTTTGTTTTTTTAATTTTCCTTGGACAGGTTGGATACCT